AAGGTAGATAACTTCATAATGTACATCCCACTTGTAGCTACTTACTCTCTGGAGAAACAACAGGGAGCTTTTCCAAAAACATATTCAGTCTGTATGAACAACTCTGAAAATTGTCCTTCTATTCCTCCTTTTTAAAGGCAACCAAAGCTATCTGTTCTTGTTCATTTAGCACAGTTTGAGTTTTTAAATTTCATCTATACGAGGTCCAGAAAGATCAGTTCTCTCTTCTGACATTAAAACCAGAGTCTGACTCTACTGCAGTATGGTGGTTTTGTTGTTAACTCCAGAGTCTTAGGGCAACACAAATAACTAAATGTCCTCAAGTTGACTAAAAATGCCTACAAATCACAAAGCTTTCAGATAACATGAGTTAGAATAAACTTAGTGATAAAATTTATGGCATGCCATAATATTACTTGACAAAATATTTTTTCATTTTTTTATCTGATAGAAGTATGAGTTCTCCTGATGCTGCCACACTGGAATTACAATTATAATATGTATAATGATGTCTTAGGGTAAACAATCAAATAAGAAGTTTCCATACACTTAGTGATATATGTGAAGAGGATCAGAGATAATGGACATGAGTTGAAATGTGTGGTTTAGATTGGATTAAAGAAAAAGTTTCCCTATGAGGACAGTAAATCAGTGGCAGAACTTACGCAGAGGCTAGGTAGTGTCTGTCCTTGCCAAGTTTAAAGCCCTGACTCGAAAAAGCCCTTTGCAAACATATCTGACCTCAGATGTTGACCCATCTTTGAGCAGAAGGATGGAATATAGATCTCCTCATGTCCTTTCCAGCCTGAATTATTTTGCATTTATGTGATCAGATACAAAAACAGTGACAGAGGTTGCCACAATTTCATATGTATGAAGGAGTTATCTGCTGCCAGCAAACACATCCCCTCTCTTTGCCAGGCTGGCAAGATAAATATTTTCTTAGAGGTGCCTCACACGGTGCCCTGGTGGACAGGTTATGAAGGTTCCATCCAGATATTAAATAAAACAGTTTGCAGGGCATGAACATTCTGTCATGAAGAGTCACACAATGTCCTTGTGAGTACAAGCATGCCTTAGTTATCATTTTAAGAAATATAGAAGCAAAGGAAGTTTCTGCAGAAATCAAAACTTGCAGAAAGTCAGACCTTGTTGAAACTTGGATCTGTGAATTATAATTTGGGGTGGAAATACAGACCACCAGATTTACAGAGTGGAGAAAGCCAGAAGTTCTCTCCAGGCAAGAGGTTAACTGCTGTGGTAAACAGTGTCTGAAGCCTTCAGTTATTTTCAAAACCAAATAAATGGCAAAACAGATTGGAGTTCAAATATCCAGGGCTGCAGAAGTGCACCAAGGTGACCATTTCTGGATAAGACACTCACTTGGCTCATAAATACTGTAAATACATAGTATATATAAAATGTGTATAAAATAAATGCATAAGTACTGAGAGCCACCATGGTTACCTTCACATTCAAGGTATAATTACTCTTCCAGTAAAATCCTTCAAACCACTCTGAGATAAGAATAATGAGACATTCATTAGCTGGACACAGAGATACCACTCCACTTTTCAGGTAGCAGGACTTCCATTGTACATAGTGTGAATAGTGTGAATTTTATCGTAGCAAATGTGTGAGCAGTGTGAATTTGCAGCGGAGCACCTGCCATTCTCAGGCAGCTGGAGGGGCAGGCACCTCGAGTTATTTTTTTGCTGGAGGCCTTTTTGCTAAAGGCTTCATTAGAAGCCTCAGCTTTTAATTCAGCTAATGCTGAATCAAGTTGCATCATGGGTGTCACTATAATGAAAAGTAGTGTAGGTTGAAAAACCCAGTACTTTTCTCACTGCCATATATTTAAATCCAGATTAAATGAGGAATGTGAGGGATGCATCTGTGATAAATCAGTCTGTATTTGGTCAGTATGAGCTTTTATCTGTTTTGGTAAAAATATGCTCTTATGATGTGTTATCTTACATGGCTACAACCTGTAAGGAGAAAAATTAGATGGAAAAGCTGAGTTAATTTGTTTCAAAATAAAAATATTAAGATATTCTTTACTTTTTCTTTTTTCAGATGTGAAATTCCACAAATAAAAATGGACATTTGGGAGTTTGTTTATTTAGTGTTTTTAAGTACAATTTTACACCTTTTAGAAATATTACCCAGAACTTCTGATAAATCCTAAAAAGAGCACATCTCTTATAAAAATGTAATTATACTGTTAATACTTTCAAGCTGAACTTAGAAAATGCACAGATTGCATCTCACTTTTAACTTGGGATCTAAAGTAAATAACCTGTAATTTTTGTATTGGATTAGGTTTGAAGTTTTAGTGTTCCTTATAAATATGTGACTTAGCATGCTATTTCTCTTGGTCACCCTGAAGATGTTTAACATGGTTGCTAAACACACAAAATGAGATTTTAATTCATACAATCTATCTTTAAATCGATGTTGTGTGGGAGTACATATTCTCAACTTCACCATTAGCAATTTACAGGGCAACAGACTATGATATGCAAATCCAGAGTTATGACTTTACTAAAGGATCAAGCAGCAGAATCTGAACAGCTATGGAAGGCATTTATTTAAAAGGAAAATATTAGCCTCAAAGTGAGAACATACAGCAGTATGTATTCTCTGTTTAATTTAAAGTTTGAAACCAATTCCCTTATTGTGATAATACAATATTTCATGATATATAGTGGAGTAACAGAAAAGGACAGCAGGACAGTCAGGATACATGTTGAAAGATGATGCAAAAGCAAAAGGGTGACATGTCCCTACATACAGCTGACAATGTCACAGCACTGACCTGAAGGGACTTTCTCAATTTATCAGCAATGACTTTTAGTCCACCACCTTGTTACTATGTCGAGAAATGAGACTGCCTGTTATCCCTGAGTACAAGCATTGGGTGAAATAATACCAATTATGAACTAAACTGATCAACCAAGTCTTTCACACACAGTGGTTAACCTTGTGTCAGATGATAGTCTGGGTGGATTCAAGAAGAGCAATCTACTGAAGACCCCCATAACCTATAATTAAATATTACACTTTGCTGCTTGGTTGATTTTTTTCTTTCCTTCCTTCCTTGTCTCTTTCTTTAACTTCCTTGTCTTTCACATGCCCTTTTTTTTTTTTTTTTTTTTTTTTTTTTTTTTTTTTTTTTTTTTTTTTTTTTTTTTTTTTTTTTTTTTTTTTTTTTTTTTTTTTTTTTTTTNTTTTCTTTTTTTTCTTTTTTTTCCCAGGAGCAAGGAATTTCCTTTAAAATATGTCTTTTTTTGCCTTAGCTAAAGTATAACCAAATGCAGATTAGCAGTGAATTTCTTCTGGCCAAGCAAGAAAAAGGACACATGTATGCTCTTATGCATCTGTACTGAATTGCTCAGGAGTAACCTCCTGTGTTTCCTTCTGTCTGTGCCCATTCTCTATGGGATGGACAGACAGAAACTGGGCACCACTGGAAAGATCCTTTTTCTGCCTCCTGCACCCTCCCTTGCAGGTGTTTGTATACATTGGTGAGATGCCAAACTGAGGTCCCTTCCACAGGAAACTGTTCTCTGTGAATTTCTCCAGCAGGAGTCCATGCCACGGACAGCAGCTCTCTGTCTGCAGCGTGGGTCACCCTTCTGAAAGGCTCAGTCCTTTAGGCACAGCCTGCTCCTGATCAGATCCCTCATGGGATTGCAACTCTTACCAGGAAACCTGCTCCAGCCTGGAATCCCCTCCCCACAGGTCTGCAGCTCCACACCAGGAGTTTTCCCACAGGTTGACAGCCTGATGTCCTGATGTCCTCCCCTTGCTCTGGCATCCCTGGGCTGCTCCAGGGGCTGCAGGAGCTTCACCATGGGCTGAGGGGAAATCCTGGCCCTGCTCCTCCTGCTCCACTGCCCTGGCTGTCTGCAGAGCAGCTCCTCTCACATGCTCTCACCCCTCTCTCCTCTGGCTGCAACTACCTCTGCACAATAACTTCTGTTTTTCTTACCCTTAAATATGTTATCACAGAAGTATAACCACCACGTCTAATGGGTTTGGCCTTCTGAACCAGAGTCAGATCCATCCTGGAGCCAGCTGGCACTGGCTCTGCCAGACATGGAGGGAACTTCCACCATCTTCTCACAGAACCCACCCCTGTAGTACGCCCACTAGCAAAACCAGGCCGTGCAAACCGGTCGGAATCTGAGGTATTGATGATTCTGAGATTGTAGAAAGTCTCTTTTTTCTACCCCTCAGCCAAAGCAGAAGCCATAATTGGTCTGTGCTGGTTCCAAGGTTGTTTATTCTGTTTATCTCTAACATGTTCTGCTGCCCTGCCCAGCTCTGTCCTGCAGGGCAGCGTGTGGGGCTCTGCCCTCAGTGGGATGTTACAAACATTCAATACCAGAAACTCCCTGGGCTGGATTTACAATAACGTGCCAATATCTGTCACCTACATTGGACAGTGTGTTCCCAGCCTGAACCAACAGAAAAATGCCAACACCACAGTGAAACATGGAGGGCATGAAGAAGGAGAAAAAGGACAAGGCACACCCAATTTCCTCCATCTTGTCCCCTTTGGACCCCTTATCTAGAATCCTAAAATTTTACTTTTGCACCCGTGCCACACTAAATTATTACTCATATCAAACACTCAGAGCTTGTAATTCATCCTGTAAGATTGAAAACTTTTCCATGGACAGAGATCACAGCCAGTGTCTCTGGGGGCTCTGTCCAGGGGGGTTCCTGACCCCTGCCAGGGTCCCAGACCTGCCAGTCAGAGGGAAGCCCTGGATTCCCACACAAACCCTCTTAGCAGAAGAGCTTGTCCTGCTCTGCACAATCCTTGAAGGAGAGCCTGGTGACAGCCATGCCCATTGCCTCTGGCAGCTCTGTGTTGCTACAGGTCCCTGAGTGCTGCCTCTGTACTTCAGTGGCAGCACAGGAATCAGGAAAAAGCCTTTAGACAACCCAGGAAAATCCTCAACAAAGAACTTCCATTCTTAATTGCCAGCTTGCATCTCTATGATTCTGCCTTTATTTTTAAAATATCAATTATTATTAAAGCCAGACATTTACAAAACCAGAAGGAAAGCACAGCTCCATGGAGTCCAAAGCTGCAATGAAAATTCTACAGTCAACATCTTGGAGATTAGTAATTATTTTTCATGACAAGCCTGATCTTGACTACACTCCCCTTGTTCTTGAGTCTCATGTGCAGTCTCTTACCCAAGATGCATTTCCACAAGAAAGGTTGGAAATAAACTTCAAAATATGTTTTTGAGAATTAGTAGTTTGAAGGGAAATATGTTTTCCATTTGGGAGAAAGTTTTTGCAACTGGGTTGCATTGATTTGCAACCGGGTTCCTTTTGTCCAGGGAGGGTGCAGCTGCTGGCACTGGGCATGGGAACAAACGAGACAGATTTTCATTTCAGAAAGCTCGAGAATCAGTTTATTGCCCCTGGGGAGGAGGGATGGGATGGAGAGGAAAGACTGGGCAAAGGCAGGATTGTGGGGTTTTTATAGGGTATCATAGGGGTGGGGTCAGGGCTTGGGTCAAGGGACATGTTATTAGCCACATAAGAGAGGTAAGATCTGTCTCTTAGGAACAGGGGCATTCTACAAAAATTGAATATTTTTAAAGGTTTTTTTAAAATGGCTTCATTTTCAAATCTGTTTCACATTAGTTGTCCATAAAAATAACACTCAGAATAACTTTAAGTTTCTGGAACTCTTCACTATTTCTGCTGGAGAGAGTTCTCTGAGTACACATTTTTGCAAATGATGCAAACTCTGTAATGTGATCATAGAGTGTTCACAAGGACAGAACATTAGTCAGACATGCTTTGTAGGAATGAGTGAGTGGGGCCAAAGGAGGAAATTTAACATCACTAACATAGATCATTCCACTTGAATCGTTCCTACTGCTTGTCAAACTTTATTCTACAGTTCTGCATCTGTTCCTTTGCATTTCTGCCCCAAACTTTCTTATAAACGTGTTTTGGGGTTTTCTTAAGGTGGAATTTCCCCTCAAAGGTATTTTGGGGTTTTGTTAAGGTGGAATATCCCCTCAGCTGTGTAAGTTTTTTAAGGTAGTAATCAATAAAATGTGAGCACTCATCAGAGCTCTAGATCTGCTTCTAGAACAGCCCTACAAAATGGTGAAGCACACTTGTGGGTTAAAAAGGCAACACCAAGAGGACTATCGTGAACAAAGTCCTTTTTTAATAGTGGCAGATACAAACCAAGAAAGCTTCCACTAAAAGCCACTTAAAATGCATTACTGACTTCCTAACAGCAAGCAACCATTGTCATCTGCAGAGGTGAGTACTCTCTGGATTGTAACACACAGCTGCCCACTCCTCCATCTGCCCATGGTCTGAATACTCCAGTTGCAGCTGTTTAAGAGAGGGAAGTTCTAGCTTTAAGAGCTAACCACTATTTCCCTGGATTAAAAAAAAAAAAAAAAAAAAAGTAAAAGAAAAAGGAGAAAAACCAAGTGTCATTAAAAACAAAGCAGTAGACTGAAGGAAGCAGACACTGTGTGTTTATGGCTGTGTTATAATGTAGGAATGAAAGACTGATTGTGACCTTTTGGTCCCAGAACAAAACTCCATTGAACCCAAACGAGGTTGGGATGAAAATGACCATGCAAGAAAAGCATGTCTGACATTTTACATGGAATATCTGGCAGGTATGAGCTAGGATAACTCCCTCTCCAGCCAAGAACTGGATTTTCATTAATCGGTGTAAAATACAGCATAAGTGAACTACTCTGCTAAATCTAAGAAGGAGTCTGTAATCTGGAATTCTTTTCAATTTTTTTTTTTTTTTTTTTTTTTTTTTTTTTTTTAATTTTTTTTTTTTTTTTTTTTTTTTTTTTTTTTATATTTCTTATTTTCTTTTTCATGACATGCTGACATGCTGGAATTGCTGGATCACAGGCTTCAGCAGAAGTGGTAAAATACAAAGTATTCTGTGAACACACACAGACACAGACACACAGACACACAGACACACATGTATCTATAAGAAGCCCTGTTCACCAACTTAAAAGGGATCTTTTCACTTTTCTTCTAACTTTAATCTTTTACTGCCTGTTCTTTGGCCACTGTTATGTTAAATACCAGGAAAAAGTGAGCGTTATTGGATGAAGGATAATGGACTGAAGTTTAGTTGTCGTAACTACACTTAGTCTCTTTCAAATGAATGGGAGATGTGTTGGTGAACAGTCATGACCTTTATCAGATATACCCTGCAGGCAGAAAGAGGAAAAGTAAATGATGTACAATTTGTAAGAGACACCATAGTGCAGTGCTTTGAAAACAACTGAAAAAAGGAGAATTTTGAAGGAAGAAGATTCTGACCATGTCTTTCTGTAGTGAGGCACTTACAAGTAATTTTGGTCAAAGGGAAAGTTTGGTGGGGTATTTTTTTGTAATGAAGCTAGCAAAAAAATTGCAATTAATTTCATTCCCATCACTTCCACAACTTCACATTTCTTGGCACTTGTCCTGAAACACTCTAAAGGAAATGCTATAACGTATTATACAGGATTAAGGGGTCCCTGAGCTGTGATAATTTAACTTTTTCCCTAGATATAGTTGAGTAAATTAACTGATTCTTTTCCCCTTTATATGTGCCCCAAACACAAATATTTATGTCCCTGTCTGACCCAAACTCTGTCCCTTTTATGATTACTTTCAAAAATCCTGCAGGGTCCAGGTCTGGATGCAGAAATTTAAGGGATATTTATTTTCTAATACACAGTTTTTGTAATGTATTGTGCCCAGATCATCAACACTTTCAGTATCATTGGCAGTGTGAACCTGAGTGGCTTTGTACCCAATCTAGAATGAATTTTCCTTGATTTAATTTATATACTTACATTGAAAAAAATTTTGGTGAAAAAAAAAAATCATCAAAATCTAGGCATTTGAAAATTAGCTGACTAAATTGATTTAAATTAAACTGATATCTTCTATTCCTGCTTTTCTAGATGTGGTGAGCTAGCAGCAATTCATCCTCCCGTCTTGCATCCTAGAGAAATTAAATTTAACCTTAAACTCTGCTTTATAGCCAAACTCAAGTTTGACTTAAATTCATGAAGTGTTACTAAGGTAATGTTGCAGCTTCTCACTTAATTGCAGAGAATAATTGAATGCATGGCCCATAATAGCCAAACTGTAGTATGCAGTTTTAATTAAACAAATTCTCATGAATTTAAATTAAGCATACTGCATTTAATTAATTGACTTGAATTGAAAAACTCATCTCTTGAACTATTGCTTGGAACAGCAATTAACACATTTGTGCAGCCACTAGTGTGTAAGTGCTACTTTAGAAGTGAAGGTTTAAGAGTTGCCCTTACACTCATGTCTCTTAAACTCTCAAGCATGGCAGAATTTCAAGTATATATAAATATATATGTGTGTGTGTGTGTGTGCGTGCTTGTACATACACATGCTTATATATATATATATATATATATATATATATATAAATCAGTATGACATTCACATAATCTGTCAGTGTAATGAGGAGAGGTCTCATGTTGCTTTGAGCAAAGTGTACACATGGGCTACCTGCTTTGGGTGTAATTTTGATTGGTAATTATCAACAACAAATATTTTGATCTCTATTTTAACTTTTCTTCTGAAATATTATAATGCCTAAGGCTTTCTCCCCTGTCTGTTCTTCATCTCTCTCTCTCTCCAGGGAACACCTGCCAATTCTTTATCCCACTTGGCAGAACTAGACTCTCTTAATCAGAATGAAATGTTTTCCCACTGTTTTCCACACCAAGGACCTGGGTTTTCAAGAAGTCTAGCCCATACTGTACTTCCTCCCCAAGTTTCTGAATTTTTCTGTCTTCAAGTAATTTATCATAATTTCCTTACAAGAAAATTAGGCATTGCTCCATTCTCCAACAAACTTCAGTTAATGGAGCCTTTGTAATTCTCAGGCACCAGAGTGGCAATGTCATACAACAAAGCAAGCCCTGTTCTTGAGACACACCACCTTTTAGAGTCTTCAGGGAACTCAGGAGATTCCCTGTTCTCTGTATGCAGATACTGCTTTAAATATTCTGGTAATCAGGCAGCACAACTTGAAGGGCTTAATTAGTTTATAGAATAATACAATGTCAACCCAAGTCCTAAACATTTAGTAATGCAATTGTGGGTTAATACGCAAGGTTTCTTCAAAATATAAAGCCATAATGGACCTTTTGATCTACTAGTGCTTAGTATTTTGGTATAAATATTTGTATTATTGGAACTGATACCAACTGCATCAGTGTTCTGGAAGTAACATGCACATGCTCTGAAAGGCTACATTAAAGAGACCAACAGATTCTAGGTTTAGTTACATGATTCACTAATTCAGATAATTATCCATTCTGCTTTCTGGGTATGACTCTACAAAAGAAGCCCTAACCTCCTGTAAAACCCATGGGAACCCATTGGAGAAACATTGTTCTGTTTTACTCCAACATAAGAATTAGGAGTTAATCAACTAATCTGCCAGGGAGGTGATATAAAATGAGACAAAGCATTTTTTTCCATATAGTAAAGACTGACAAAATTTTTAAGAGCCAATGATCAGTGGACCACAATTGAATTAAGATCCAGGAAGAGCACGTGGAAGGTAGGAGTATCCAGCAAGCAAAAACAATATTGTCACTCCTGCATTTTGTTTTGCAAGTGCAAAGAAGTACTTCACCTCAACTCTTAGGCACTTAGTGTTACTGTGGCTGCTGTTTTCCAAGTGCACAACTGCAAAGGTGGGCATCATGAATGAGTATGGACTGGAAAAAATAAAGATATTCAGCACCAGTGTCTTTTCCTTCCCTTCAATAGCAGCTCTTTGAGCCATTTACTGTCACTTATGGAGTTCTACTGACTTCACTTTGTCTCAGGACAGAAATTTGCTCAATTTTTTTCCCTCCAAAGACTCTGAATCATACAACTTTTTCTCCTATAATACTCTTAAATTATTTTTCTGTCTGGTCTAAGGGAAGAACTCACTTCATTTCAGTCCATAACAAAGTTTCCTTGAATTTTAGTAGATATAGAATTTCACTTTAATTTGTATATGCTTAACCTTTTCAGAGTACTTAACTCTATACATGTAGGTAGCTTCAATGCACTCAGGGAGGCAAATCTAACTGTCCAGGCCTTGCCATGATTTCCCTCCCTCTGCTATATTTAAATATTTTTCATATTTCAGATCACATCTTGCTGTCAAGTGTCCAGTGTCAGCCATCATTGCAGAGGAGCTACAAGAGGTTAAACTAAGAATTCACACTGGAAATGTGAAGAACTTCAGGTTGTTAAACATGAGCCTGTTTGTATGGCAGCTGGTGTGTGGTCCTTTCATTCCAAGCTGTCCTTATTTGGAAATTTTCAAGAAAACCTGGTTTCTTCTATTATTTATGCATAGCTGATTTTGTTTAGTAATAAAAATAAATGAAAACAACTCTCATAAATTTGGAGGTTATGCATTAAAAACTAACTCATTGAATCCAGCTCCCAGAAAACTAAGCTGAAAATGCAACCCACAGTTTGTGTCTTCTTAAAGCATCAGCTAATGGACAATCTTCCACTCTAACTTCCATTTTGTTGCCACAAAAACATCACACATCATTTGTCATACCTAGTTTATAATCCACATTGCCCCCTTTATGGTTTTTTAAATATTTCCAAGTTTTTTATGCACTTTCCTTCTCAGATTTATATGTTGATAAATAGAACTTAAGAATAGGAATAGCACAAGTGATTGAAGAATTTGAAAAAAAGGAAAACTGTCAATATATGTTTTATCTTTTCATCCATGTGGTGAGTTTCTTTGTGATGCTTTTAGGACTTATCCATTAAAGTAATGGAGCGAACCATTAATGTTAACTGCATATTCACAAAAGCCACAAGCAAATATAGCTGAATTCTGGGATTTTGCTGGGTTTACAATGAGCTGTGTGCATGATCTAGTTCTAGTTGCCAAGATATCACCTGCACCTAGAATCTTGTGCACCTTCTAAGCACCTTCCTTCTTCAGGTGCTCCCAGGAATTCCAAATCAATACATCACAGCACCAGGCAACTCTCAGCCACCTCTAGCAGGCTTGAGTCTGATGGATTTCCAGACCAGAGTCTTGCCAGTATTGTGTGTTGTGCACAGTGTTGGAATTGGATGGCTGAAGGACAGAGGTGAGAAAACTGGGAATTGCAGCACAGTTTCTCTGGTTCCTGTCAGAATTGGAAAGGACAACTTCAGAGTGATTTTCTGCTGACTTTTTTAGGTCTATTCATTACAAGCTTGAAGCTTCTCAGCTGCTTTGTAACAGTGAATTTTTGTTCTGCTGCTTTTACCTTTTCCTCAGGCACAACGGCCTGTTCTGCTCTGTCCACTTTGCAGGCCCATTTTAGGTTATTTGTATAACAGTAATACTTTGTAGGTCAGGACTCAATTTTAGGGATTATAAATCAGAACAAAGGGAGAAATAAAGAGAAAAGGAATCAAACAGAATTGTCAGAGATGAGAAGCAGTAAAAGGAGCAAACTTTTTCTCCATATCTATAACTGACTGCAGAACAAAGTCAGACTGGTTTTGGTAACCATAGGGTGCAACAATCAGGCTTGAGGTTAAACCTATTTTCTTGAGGACAAAGGGACAATCTAACTGAGTGTCACATTTGAAATAATGAAGTTTTAGAGGAGTGATTAAAGACTAAAAGAGCATTGGAATGTTGTCAGTATATTCCCAGCCCAGCTGAAGGCCAGAGCTGCAGTTGCAAAAAGATTTCCACTACAAGAGAGCATTTTAGAAAGGGCAGCACTTTCCCCTATCAGGCTGTTCACCCATTGGGTGTTTCTCAGCATCCTCATGCTCTTTTCACTTTGACAAGGATCTAATATAAAAAATTTACTTCTTGACTAATAATTTCAGTAAAGTTTTTTTTTTTTCCAAAGATATTTTAGTTCAATATTAGCAGTTTGCTTGAATTGGTTCCTAACCTCTCTCGGTTTCTACCTCATTGTCCAGGGGTCCATGTTAGGCTTCTGTGTTCCTAAATTTAGATGTGTAATCACATTTCCAAAACTCTTCCTTCTTCACAATGAGGCCAAACAGCCTCCTTCTGTTCTTCCGTGCAGGCTCTTGCCCTCTGACTCCTCTTAATAGCTAAACCTTTGCTTCCAGTTTCCATCAGAGCTGCTGAAAGAAGCTGGCTAAGAAAACTACAGACACTACAGCCAAACTAGAGAGTGCTGACTTGGAGCAGATCCTAGCAGCATAGCTGGTGACAGGCAGCAAACAGGTATAACTTTTCACATTTGTGCAGTCACATACACACAACACAGCCAAGCAGGTTGCTTATCCATGCTACAAAAACAGGTCATTAGAAAGAAGATTAAGGCTAAAAGGGCTCAGAAGGATGTTTACACCTACCTACAGCCATTCTTGCTGGTTCCAGATTCCAAAAGGAATTTTAGGATGTGAATTTTAGGTTCTCAAATGGGTTGCAGAGGATGGACTACAGATAGATCGTGGAAACTGGGCACATGTTGTTTTGAGGTAGTAGGGAATGGAGAAAGACACGACAGCTCCAGCTGGGAGTTTACATCTCTCTTCTCCACAGCTTTTCAGGAAATTCTCTGCAGAGAGTCCAAGTGAATATAAATTACAAGTTAAATTAGGATCTAGGTGATGAAAAATTTTAAGTTAAGCTGTATTAGAAATTTTATATCACACGATTTATTGATTGTAATAAATTTTCAGCTATGAGAGTCATAATATAGAACGTTACCTTTAATCTTCTGAGAATAAAACCCTTCAGTTGCAACTATGACTTAGTGCAACCATTATTCTGCATTGGATGCCTAAAAGTATCTGTTCATCCCTTTCTCTGTGTTGGAGAACAGCATTGTCCACTTCAGCCTCTTGGGGGCTTCACTGGCACAAGCTTCCCACCTTCTGTAGTCAGGTTTTTGGTGTCTAGCTTCATTCCATGGTGCCAAATCTCTACAAGTGGTGAATCCCTGACATTTCACGAGCTAGGACATATATTCTACAGGTTAGAAGATGCACCAAAAGCAAAGGGAACCCCTTGCTCATACCTGGGCATGCACCATGAGGGCCTGCTACCTGCACTGGACCCATATTTGTTATTCAGGAAAAAAACCAAAATCCTAAAAAATTAAATTATTCTCTCCAGATAAGGTTTAAACATTCAAGCTCTGATGTGTTTCAGTCTTAACATCTGATGGCTGAAATCTGTGGAGGAGGTAGGCAGCTGAACAGACATGAGCAGTAGTATTTTTAAGGCAAATGGTCTGATCCTATTGCACTAAACTTAGAATTATTATTGCAGCTTACCAGGGGTTTAAATATGGGTTGTTTATGTTCCATATTTCACCCTTCCAGCTGCTGAATTTTCCTGAGGCTGGCAGGCCTGCAAAGCATTCCCACTAGCTGTTCAGGTAGGTGCAGAGACATGCTAGCCAATTGCTTGCACTCAGCAAATGGAAATCCTATGTGGATCACAGAATAACACAGTTATATGGGGAGTCAAATACTAGTGGGTTTGAAAAACAAGGTTGGTTGCTTAACCTAGGCCTGAAAGAGAAGGTTTAATCTTCTATTAGCCTGCATCATGAATGATTTCACATCTTCTTAATCTCTCTTGCCATGGACATATTACTCTGATGAAGATACCTTCACATGCTGTGGTGTAACAGGAAATCTGCTTCTTACCACCTGTTTCTCTGATTTTTTTTGGCTGTATATCCCTGTACAGCATTTGAGGGAGAGACACCGAGGAGCAGCGCACTGCTCCGTGCGTGTCCCTGCATCGATCCGCCGTCCCTTCCCCGCGCCCTTTCCTGGAGCCTGCCCAGCGGGAGCCCAGCAGAGCCTTTGTGTCTGTCTGTCCCTGTCGCCTGTCCCCCGTCCTTGCGCGCAGCGCTGGGGAGCGCTGAGCTCGCTTTGCACGAGTGCGACCCCGCTGCTGCAAACCCGGTGCGACCTCTCAGTGACAGCCCGGTGATAGCCCCGGTGATAGCCCCGGTGATAGCCCCGGTGATAACCCCGGTGGCAGCCCCGGTGGCAGCCCCGTTGATAGCCCCGGTGGCAGCCCCGGTGATAGCCCCGGTGATAGCCCCGGTGGCAGCCCCGGTGGCAGCCCCGGTGATAACCCCGGTGATAGCCCCGGTGATAGCCCGGGTGGCAGCCCCGGTGATAACCCCGGTGA